AAGGTTTATTCGACTTGAAACAAAATTGTTTATCTCGCTTAAATGTCGTTCAAAGGTCATACGAGCCCAATCAAATGCATACCTTCTCGATATATTAACGCGTGTCTCTTGTGTGGATCTGCTACTTGTGCGTCTTTCAGGGTATTATTTTAGTCTAACGAAATTGTAAATGCACGAATCATCCACAGGATTACCTATTAATATCAACATATCTACGATTGGATATTGCAATCCAACTTATTCACCTCAATTTCGCGTTGGCAAATCATGTCTTTCCATCGATTCATGAAACTTACCTCATACACCGAGGATAATCTATCTGTTATCAGCAATTCTGTCTACTGCGGAAGTATTATAGATGGAATTCAATGGATTTACTGGGGTTCCAAAATTATACAACACGATAACAAAAGATTCCGTTTGCGTATAATCGAGCAATGCGGTTTTATTGACGACCATCTATTCAAGTCATTAGGACCCTCATCAGAATCTGATATAGAACGATGTTTTGAAAGTATGATTCGCGTTGATTCACCCAAAACGGCCTATGTTTGCAAAGACCAAGTTGGAAATGAGTGGAATTACTCTCGTGAAATTCTTGAGCCTGGAGATTTCTAAAGACCAAGTTGGAAATGAGTGGAATTACTCTCGTGAAATTCTTGAGCCTGGAGATTTCCAAAGACCAAGTTGGAAATGAGTGGAATTACTCTCGTGAAATTCTTGAGCCTGGAGATTTCATGGTGGATGTTTTTATAGTAGTAGTGGATAGTACTCTCACTGGTGAAGCTGCTGTCTCACAACAAAAGTTTCTCAAAAAGGCACTTACAGAACTCCGAAAACGTAGAATTCCCTTCGTTTTCGCCTCTTCGAAACGCGATTGTGAAGTGTCTCCTGAGAATAAGGAGTTTTTGAAGCATCTGCTTCATGAAGTCTGCAAGTCGCTAAAGAAGACACGATGTTGTAGGGTCGAAACTTCGGCCAGACTCAACATCAATGTTCATCAAGCATTTCTTTCTGCCGCATTGCTGTGCACGCCCTCTTCCAGTGAGATAAATTGCAAGTATTTTCCATACTATCCTCCTCTAAATGTTGTTCATCAATCTTCTCTGAACCCTAATGTTCGTTTTCGGTAAGAGTTATGCTTTTACTTTACCTTTTCCCCAACCTCTAGTCATTCTGATCGAGCCGGCACCATTGTTTCCATTTACGCTGACTCGAATACTAATCCTCTGGATACAGAGAATTTTCGGCCACCGCCACGGATTTTTAATCGATTCAGCTTAACAGATAGTTCCGCTTATGATTTACCTGTTGAAGGTAAAACTTTTGCCAATCAACCATGTTGCCAAGTTCCAATTGTTATTTCTTCTGAATCTTCTGTACGTTTTTGTGGCTCTTATTTCCTTTCAACTCGATATGTTTTTCTAGTTTTGACTTACTTTTAGAGACAAATCTCTCTACGACGAAGAATCCCTCTTCTTATGGACCCCCCAGGGGCTTGTGCATCACATATGTGCTATGAGACAATCAGTGCCAACTCCCAATTTCCTCCAATTCACCACCAATTGCCACCTCAGATGGCACGACCTCAAATTACACATATCGTCCACCAATCACCAAATGCAGTCCAATTAACTCCAGAGTTGGCACCCACTGAAACAGCAACGCCTCAGCCGAAAATTTCTGCCTCCAATTCTACCTCTCAGCCTCTCCTCATGCTCTTTCTCAGCGGCCCTGGCGCTTCAAAGCTAAAGGCTGTTCTACAGAGGCAGTGCTATCGAGATCGTTTACAACTATCGGTGTGTTATATCCCCTGTTTCATTTTTTTAAGTTTTCTGACTTCTCGTTGTCTTAATTCCAAAGTAGAGTTGACATTTTTACTATAAAGTGGTGGGGCGGGAGAAATTTTAATTCATTTACATATCTTTCTGCTTTTCTTCATGCTTATTGGTGATCGTAAGGCATAAATTATGAATAAAACCGGCTTGACACCATAAATCCGTTTGAACACGTTACATAAACTTATTCGTTTATTTTATTTTCGATGTTTATTTTGTGTACAGGAGTAGCAGAAATTTTCGTATTTATAAATATGCTAGTTAAAATTGAACATGACAACATTTCGGCCTTTATTAATTTGGATTTCATATTTTTATAACTTTGGATTTTTTGGAAAATCTTGAGTTGAAGAGAAAGATGATTTTCCTGTTTAAGCGTATTTTCATAATTATTGAATCTCTTTAGTGTTGGATGATATCAGTGGTTTAATGTTTTGAAAAAATTTCATTTGTCATGTTTTAGTTCTTTGGAAATTTAATTTTTCCTGTTGTCCTACTCTCAATATATTGACAAGTGAAAAGAAATTAATTAAGTCATTGACATAAACTTTGGTTTGGAATATTTTATTATGTCTTAATTATGTTGGCGTTAGCGAAATTTCCGCTTTAAAGTAGAAACTACTGTTTTCGTTGTAATCGGCAAGCAGGCTGTGGTTTTGAACACAAATGCCAGTCATGTGCTTTTTTGTGGCATAATTTTAGTAGCGAGAGCCACTGACCGATTGGAAATAAATTAAATTTGGTTTTTACCTTTAATCCCTCCAAATGATCATGTAATTTGACAAAGCTTGGCGATTAGATGCTAGACACATTTCGGCATTTTCTGGAAGAATGCCAATTGTCGCCTTTTCATGCATCGACCTTATAGATTGAGGAGAAGGTTCTTGAGGTTGCTTGTGATGGGGCTACTGATTTTCCCAGGAATTTGACTTTAGAATTTATTTTTAACCTTTAATTTTTAATTGAATTTAGCACTAATATAGTAGGTCTTCCTAATTTGAGCTGATTACAATTGGATCGAAATTAAGTTCAATGCAGACGGATGAATCCGAATTCCATTTTTTTATCCTTATAAAATGGTTGGGAATTTGCAGAGTCAGTGTTAGTTATTCTTGATTGATTCGTTGTAGACCACCGTCAAAGCGTTTTTTGTTGAGTTTGCTAGTAGTTGTTATTTTGGTCTTCGGTCATGTGTGAGTGGGATCTTCCTGTTGGCTTTTGGCTCATTTTTCATCCACCAATATTAACTCGGAAGTCGTTATATCAATGCCCCCTTCAAGTGAAGCCAATTCGAGGTTTATAAAAGGCCCGTTTCAGTCCATGGGAGGCAAACTCTGCTCACTGCATTTTTATGTGTATTTATGTGTAGACTCAGTTGCTTGGCATGTTGACGCGTGGTTTTGAAATCACATTTGGCATGGCTAAGCGTGCCAAAAGTGTTGTTGATAGAGTGAGTGGATCGCTGACCTTGGACTTTTCCTTTTGTGCCCACACTTTGGCTCATGTTATTCCCCCACCTCTCTCTAGGACTCCCATCTCCCTTAGTGATGACTGCAGGCCCATTAACCAATCCCTATTTCTTTCCCAATATCCATTACCTCATACTGATAAGTCATGGCATTTCGCATCGTGTCATAATGTTTAATTGCATAGAGGATATAGGCGCCTGGAATAACGGCAATAACTTAAGAGGAATGACTTGGTTAGAAGAAGAGACATAAAGGCCTTCAGTTTTTTCGGGTATTTGCCTCTATCTAACATTTAAAGTACGGAATTCATCATTCATGTCGGAGTTGGTGAAACTATCTACTTAACCTCAGTTTCGCCTTGTAACAATAATCAATGTGTTTCATTAATGGACCACATTTGATTTTGCTCAAGGGAAAATATTGCACCTGCTGACTACATTCGTTTCCTATTTCTTAAAACTGTTGCAAAAATGACTGATAGGTGATTTATTAAGTCATTACATTTGACGAATGCACTTATATGGAAATAAGTGTTACAGAAAAAAAAGAGGTGGATTATATTGACGATGCTTTCCCTTAAAAAGGCTCAGACTTCTTCAGACTTCTCCTCGCAGAAAAGACGACGTTTTAGATTCGAAATTGTTTTGATTACATATTGGTTATTAAGTGACAAATTTTCCCATTAAAATTTATAATTTGATGAGGCGAAAGGGATTTCTAAGTCTGTTTCATGGATGGCCAGTTTTTAGAGATTTCAGAGTGACTGCAGATTCTTTAAAAGAGTTCATATCGGTGAGTAAATGTAGTGAACTTCTTACATGTGGCTTTACTTTCTCAGCATTTTAAAGGCTTCCGTTTAGCTAGTTTTGATTTTGTGACATTGCCTTATCGTTTGAGCCTTTACTTTAACTTTCATGACAGACAGGTAAAGATAATAGCTCCTATTTTTTAATTATATTCATTGAATATTCCTATCTCCTCGAAAATACCCATGCATTTGTTAATTAACGAAACTCTATTGTTTGCTGTGGCGACTGGGATTACGCTATCATTAATGGGAGATTTTTAAATCAGTATGATCTTGGCCAGAAGAGAATCATCTTGGATGCATCCAAATTACGAAGTTCAACCTGTTTGCACTCTATCGATCAGAACTAATAAGTACGTGAGGTGATCTTACAAACTCTAACTTGACAGATACCCTCGGTGACCGCTACAAGTTTGGGTCAGAGGTTTCCACTCCAGTACGCTTTCCCAACTTATATGGATATTTGTAGCTTATCTGCACCTGTTTAAATCTGATATCAAAAATTTCAGAATGACCAGTGCTTCCGCGTTTGGATATTTGACGCTGTGGATCCCCATTCAGTTCAAATCAGTCCCTCGAAATGGCAGCCACACCACGCTCTCCATCCCTCACCTTCAGCACCATCGGCATTCACAACTCCGGCTCATACTAATCCCTCCAACATCCCGAACGCTGGAATTAGCAGTAGTAATGGCAACTCAGGCGATGGAAACAGTCCATCAGATTCTACTAATAGTGAGTGTTCAAGTAGGCAACGCCAGTTGAAACTTAGTCTCTGGGCTATGGATATGACAATTATGGAGTTGACTGAAAGCCAAAAATCCCCTCCAAAGAATATCGACGCGGTGGTCTTTCGAGCTGCTGCAGATAACCCTACTGTGGATGAGTACTACGACGAAGTGGGAGGAGACTACAAAGTGGAATTATCAAAAGCTTTCAATTTTGCCAATTTGTAAGTCCTACTAGCTTCTAAATGATGCCAATTTTCCCGAAAAATAATCTGTGTTTTCGTATTAGATGACAAATATTTAACCCTTTTTTATTATCAATGTTATTATAGTGTCTGTAAATGCAAAAAAAATCAATTTTTAGTTAGAGGAAAGCATGTAGGGGTACGAACAATAAAGCAATCCGTTAAGGTTAAGTAGAAAAGGTGAATGAAGTCAGTACATAATGGGGTAGAAATCGAAATTGGTTGGTCTCTTTGAGCAATAAGTCTTATAAAAGTATGATTCGGTATAGGTGAATTGTGGGATTTTTCCCTTAAGCCAGTTTTCTGCTCATCTTCTATTGTCTTTCAAATATTTGTCCCCTCCCCGGTTTGACACTGTTGATGGGGCCCAGCTTTGAAGGCAGATGGGTGAAAATCGATTTGATTGATGGTTTTCAAAAGCGAAAACTGTTTTTCCGTTACCTCTCATCGCAAAATTCACCTTTTTATTAGTGGTACCTAAATTTTCTATATCGGGGGGAACACAAGCTTACCTGTTTTAACATAGCAGAACTCACCGAATAGCCCCTACTGCTCTTATTATAATTTGCAGTAAGGCAAACAATTACGAATTTTGCTCCTCGGAGGGCTTCCTGACACGGCGAACGTTAGGATAGTCCAATATGCGATGGTGAGGTCAGGTAGGCAAGAAAACAGTCTGCAAAATAGCATCAAACTTACATTGTTTTTGACTTAACTCGTTCAATTCTATCCGCCAAGTTGCTGAGCTTTATTGCTCGAAATTGAATTGCTTGAAGTCGTCCTTAGGCCCGCGTAGGAATCCATATTCGAAATACTTTGAGTTTATTGATAGTAGCTTGCCTTTTATCGAGTAGTGTTTGTTCGAACCGTTACCATTGAAAGTAAATTTAGTAAACTCCTCCGCTTTGCTATGTGGTGGGACTTAGTAAAGAGCAATGCAACACCAGTAGCAGTTGTATTTATTTACATGCTGTTTGGCAAGAACTGCGTGCCAATCTCAATGCACACACGCACACTCAATTGCTAACGAACTCATGCTCATATTAGAAACTACTCTTTCTCTCTCTCTCTCTCTCTCTCTCTGTTGACCTCTTTCACTTAAATATGCTCTGCTTTTCCGCAATTCAATTTTCCCCATCTTCCAGTAGGTTCCACAACACTCTCCTGTCAAGTAAAGTTGCTAATTTTACTAAATTGGCATTGATCCCCCCCCCCTATTTTGTACTCAACTTATGTTCTCAAAGAAAGTTGAAAATTGATGCCGGCTGAGTCTATGCAATCACTCTCAATTTCGTAAATAGTAAATATGCTTCCAGGAATCACTAGCGAATGGTAATCGCTCTTATAAATTTGGATTTCTTCCAAAGTTCGTTAACTTTTAAGTGTGAATGAAATGTGCAACATATCAGCCATAATTTACTTTAAACCGCATTTGACGTATATTTAGCTTACCTGAAATTGGATTCGTTGCGCATTGCTTTGTGAGAAAAACGAAAGTTGTTGCATGTTGAAATGAATTTTTGTCCTCTATTTGCAAATTGTAAAAAAATTAAAACTAAGCACTTTGAGAATGTGTGGATTTAATAAAAATGGAGCTCCTATTTTATTCCCATCTACAATGGCCTACAAATTTAAAGCCAATTGGGAGGCAAAAGTTCGAATTGCCTTGAGAATCGTTATTTCCCTTTTTTCCTCATATTTAAACACGAAATCAATTGATTACTAGAGAAAAGCAATAACTACTTCTCATTGATTTCTAAACTGAGCTTTACACTCGTTGAAATTATGTTACATTTAAACAATTTTGTAAGCATTTCCTGAAAAATTTTCCTTTCAAAAGGATTGGGTCACGCGCATATGTGAAAAGGCGCGGTTTTCTGTCCCAGTTAAATCCAATTCCTAATACTTGTGTGTGTGCGTGTGTGCAGAATTTTGTAAATGTCTTTTTTTCCGCCATATTCGCTTTGATAGGAAAGAAATTGTCTCCTTGGTTAGATGTAAACAGGGAAGATTTGCGTGTTTTTTTATTATTTACCTTTTATTTTGATTTGAATTTATGACTGCTTTTAATTACTTCTGTACTTTTATCTTGCGAATATGATCTATTTGAAACTGCCGGGTTTTAAGGCCACTTTGGAACCGTCGCTTAAAGTTTTTGGGTGTGTATTGATTTTGTTTATTTTTTTCAAAATCAATCGGAATTTGAGTCAATTAGGTTGCTTGTCTAACTGATTTTAGGGATTAGTTTAGAGAAGCAGTTTTAATAACATTAAGTACATATTAAAGGGAAGCTGGGTTTGGATAATTTTTTATTAGGTGAATGTAGTGCGCGAAATTATCGCCTTTACTAGCTAACACTAGCCTAATACAGAGGTAGAAAAGTAGAACAAAATTACGTTGGTTTTAGCTCTTTTGGCACCCATTCAACTGTTTGATTGATTATTACAAATAAGGTTATTTTCCTAAGCTCACTTTAACTGGATTGGAAGCTTATCCAAAACGACGAAGCTAGTTCAGATAAGAGACAAGCATTTTTAATTGGGAATGATTTGAACTTCCTTCTACCAGTAACCATATTCACCTTACTCTTGATCGAAAAACAATTTTTAAAGAGTATGCAGACTTGAGTAAGTATTGCAACGGAGAACTCAAATAGAGAAAAAAGGTTGAGCAAAAACAAGTGGGAATGCTAATTAGTTGAAGTGATGTGAAGTGTGTCTGCCAAATCAGGGGTCACGAGACCAATAGGATAGGCGATAGACACCACACACATTCCTAGCCTCTGTATTTATATCAAATGGCAAGCTTTATGCTAGATTGTCATTAGCCCTTTAGTTGACTTCGGGAGGAGGAAGAGATGAATGATTCACAGACAGACGCAAAGGTAGAGAAAAAGGTAAGGTGAGTATTGTGAAAGTGGTCCAATATGACATGGAGTCAGGTCATAGTAGTCAAGACAAAACTAATATATATGTTAATCATTTGATTTTAGATAAGTGAAGCCACTTCCCACTCACCCTGTACCAACTTTTATATACTGTATAGCGACGGAAGAAAATTGCAATTGAATATGTGACAAAGCTGCCCTTTTTCAGATCTCCTTAAATATTAAAATTCAATTTCACTATCGCTTTTATTTCATGTCACTTAAAACGAGGATATTATTTAGTTTTTAGCTGTTTTATTTTCCAGTGTTCTCAAAATAGCATCATATTTTGCATTTTATTTCTTCTCTAGGCTTCGGGCACCTCTCTTCTGCATTCCAGAAGAGGCCCCTTCCAGTCTGCTGGCTTCTCTCCTTTTCTTCGCCAAAAATCTCTCTCTTTTCAAGACACTGATCTCGAAGGATTCCTCAATTCCTTGTCTCTTACCAGAAGCTCAGCGGACAGTCAATATTCCTCTTCTTCTACAAGTTTGCTCCAGCGATTCCGATGGAACTTCTCCTGTAAATTCTCTTACGAGTATCACTGAAGGTGCGGAAATTGCTTTTGAACAGGAAGGTGGAGGTGGAGATGACGATGAAGCGACTCGAAGTGAAACGTCAGCGCTTTCAGGACAGAGAATTGCTGTTTTCTCATCTTCCCAAATACCATCACCTTCCTTTCAATACCTCCCCCGTGTGGCTATTGGTTTGGATTTTTCTACTGACTACACTCTGGATCGAAGGGATGAACAGTCACAATCACCGCTGTCACCACTTGTAATTTTTGTCACGATATGTCAAGTGAGTCTAATGCTATCTTTATATCATTTAAGAAGGCTAAAGATCTCGGTTTCCACAGATGTTGCACTTTTGGCGGCAATTGCTCAAAACAAGAAGGAGGAAAGGAGAAGACGTGTAGCCCAAACCAATTCAGAAAGTGAACACATAAGAAGTTATTGCTTACCTCGTTAGTAAATGGTTGTACCAGTAGCCAAATTTTATAATCAGACACAGGCATAGAGATTCAATAGTTAATCATTCAATACATGAGGAGTGAAACCTGTGAACATCGTTTTCAAAATGAGCATGCTGCTGTGCGAATAGACTAGCGATAATAGCGGAGTCAGCGTTCTTACGCACTCGTGTGATTAATGGAGCTCCGAGTATGTACGGCTGCTCATTTTGCACCTTCTTCCCCCGTTGCCATCACTCATGGCCTGAGTAACTAACTCTGACCCCTCCCCTCCTTTTACTCAATTCAGCACACGTGTATGGACAATTAAACAAAGCTTGTAATGAGGTGGGGGGAGTGAAAGGCGGGGG